CCCGCTTCTATCCTCGTCAATCATTGTGTCACACTCCGATCTTGAAATACAGTGTTTCATGAGGAAGAGCAATGACGTAAAGAACGTGCAAAGGAGAACACAACAGGAAAAAATCTTGACATAGAGGAGGACCTTAACCGGAGAACAAACACGGACAATGCGACGATGGTCCTGTAGGAATTGAATTCTCTCGGTTGGGATTGCCTATACGATCGACACATACTCCGTTGTTCATATTTTATCACAACACGACGATGTCGTTCTTGGCAATTTTATCCTTTTAGGTTATCTGTTAGTTGTCAAAAAACTTCCACATGTACTAGTCTCGTTGATATATTTGCGATGATATCCAATTTGCCTATATTTTGTCAAAGATTCTATCAAATGAATATTCTATCAATGTGTCAACTATGTCTGTCGTTCACGCCTACATGGTATGTCTTGTGTGGCGATCTTTGATTCAACTTTGATTCACAGCTCGTCTTGAGCCCACCACGTAACAGCCACATGTCGGCACGTTAAGGACTTTTCGTATCTATGTGATATAACCTGCCATATCACCGTGACATTTGGCAACGCCTTGCGTGTTCTGTACTTGACATGGATATCACTAATCTAAAATAAAGTCTTCATAAGCAGTCCAAACAAAAACTCCTCAATGAACTTTTGGTAATCTATTGTCAAGGCAAAAACTTTTTTTGCATATGCAAAAAAGTAAGTTTCATTTGAAGCAGTGGAATGACTGTTTTGCAGCTAATTATAACAAAAATTTGCAATCGCATGATAGTGAAATGCATTAAGATATTTTTCCATGTCTGATGCGAAATTAAATTACACTTTAAATTATTGTCAACATCATTTGCACTATTGATATGAGATCAAGACATGTAATTTGAAAAAGACAAATAACTCAATCTAATAGTAGTGGATGAATTGTCAATCACTTTGATTTCATATTGGCAATCACTTTAAGTCGTAAACTACCGACTTTGCCACAAATATAAAAAAAAAATAAGTCAACGATGGATATCAAAACATTTTTGTTTAACTTTTACATTTTTGTTGACTTATCACAAACTTACATTCTTAAGCAACTTATACAATTTTTTGTAGTATGAGTTAACATAAGCATAAACTGAGAAAAAACTAGCCGTTTCCTTTAATATATATAGTATTTCATATGATATTTAAATTTTGTTGCATCAGTGTCTAAATTTTATCAACTGATGTAACCAATATTTCTTTGTAATATCATTTAAAATTAAAAAACTTAAAATAAATTCAAAATATTTTCATGAAATAATATTCAAATATTTTATATAGTAAATCTATGATTATTATATTTGATCAAGATTTTTAAGTTAAATAAATCTAATGTCAAAAGTTGTGATATGACATAACTTTCCTTCTATGAATGAAATAGCTATCACTTAAACACTATAGATATTAAATTGATATAAATTATTGATTAGATAGACTTAAACACTATAAATATCATATACATCAAATTGATATAATTCATTGATCATGTAACCATGAATGTATCATGTCCAGGCATGGTTATAATAGTCACCCGCCTAAATTATCTAAATACGTCTAATTTAGTCTCCTTAAAAAATTAATTTAGACTAATTTAGTCTTTTTAAAATGTTAATTTAGGATTTTTAAAAAATTAATTTAGACTAATCTAGTCTCTTAAAAAAATAATTCAGTCTATTTTAACCTCTTGCAATATTTATTTAGAAAAATGTAATTTAGTAAAAAAATAAAATTTGATTATTTTGAATACAAATTTTCTATCAATAACTTATAAACAAAAATTGTTCATAGAACAAAACATAGTGACTTTAAGATTAACTTTAATTCAAAACTTTTAAAACAAAATTTTATTTTGTTATTTCTATCAAACATTTGTCAGTGATCAAACCCATCTTAATCCAAAGTGTGATAATATTTTTCGTAACAAATCTTTTTCCAACGCAAAATTGAGAAATCAGACTCTACTGTACTAATCCAGGAAAAAGCGTTGCAATTACACCACAATATTCCATCAAATTTGGACATCGAGCACTAATGAAGACCAGCCGTACTTGAAACTTGAATTACTGGAAAACGAATCAATGACGATCTTAATCACTGGCTCACATCTATGAGAATGGATTAGAGTTTTGTGCTCATCAGCCATAATATCAACCTGATCTGATGAATAAGAATGCTTCAATCGAAAAGCATGTTGCCGAATCTTTCGGATAAAATCTGTTGCAGAGAGTTTGATGAGCTCATGTGGAAGCACGGGAGAAATAGACTCAAAATCAATCATTGCGTTGTTGTTTTGATCTCGATAAACACAAATTTCAAGATCTGATGGCAAGTTGTGACATAAACAAGAGCGATGTCTCGTTGAAGATCGTTTAGATCGCTTTCAGTGGCTTTGTTAAGTAAAGGTTCAATCCAAGAAGCCATACCAACGAGAAGTTCTTGAACACTGGATAAAGCAACCGCAAAATGACCTACTATGACATGAGTTGATATATCAACATTCTCAATTGTTTTTGCGCTGAGCGATCCAACTACTCCAACGTCGGAAATGAAAGTTGACACAAGGTTATCCAAGGCATTTTGCTGTTGAAGTACAAGAGTAGTTAAACCTTGAATTGTTCGAAAAGCAATAGTTGTTTGTGTAGTGAAATGATTCATAGAAATAAGTGCAACCCACCAAAGTCAAGATGGAGGGAAGTTGGTCGCTTTGAGTTGATATGAACAAGTAATTGAGTTTGATGGATTTTGAACCAAGTGATGATTTTTTTACTCGATTGACAACACGAAGGCATGTTGTTTGCATTTGCGCTATCAAATTCTGCTGTCGTATCAAGTGAATAATGAATCTAGTCATCACTGTAAATAAAATTGTTCTTTGATGACATTGTTCATTACATTTTCCATAACCAAATTTAGTTGATGCGCTCTGCAACAAGTCTGAATTAAAGTACAATCCTTGTTACTCATGTCAGCAATGCAAGTAATAACTCCAATAATCCGTCTAGTCCTATTGCAAGCCCCGTAAGTTGTCAAACCAAGAAGACGATTTGTACAATCAAGACAAAGCACTGCCAAAAACTTGCTTAACATTGAGAACATAACGTCACTTGTGTGGCGATCAAACATTGAAAGTACACAACCATGCAAGTTAACAATTGATGAGAGTCGCGAATGAAAACTCGAAAACGTATGTCAAAAAATGAAGTGCTCTTATGTGTTGTCGAGTCGAGTGCTAATGAAAATGCCCACGAATGTCAAAGAAATTTTGCAATCTTTTGCGTATTGGCAGCGCGGATTACCCGAACAAAGTTACAAATATCATAATGAGAACAGACATGTAAAACAAGATTGCCTAAAACATCATATGTACAACCTACAAGTTTGGATGTCATACAAAATGATATACCACAAGATACGTATTGCATAGCAAGACGAAACAATATTGTTTTCATCTTGGAAATCATCACTAAATAAAAGTAATCTTGAGCAATGTACTTCAATTCAACGCGATGAAACAATGATAATTCTAGTTTTTTGGACTTGGTTGATGCTTGTCGACGTTGGGTATTATTTTCACCCATGTTTCCAAACAAGTGTTCATTTTCATGTAGAAAATGAAGTATCATCTTCACCATCACTTTTTCTTGTTCTTCAAGATTAAATATCATATTGACAACAATGATATTGACAAAATCTCGTTCAATTTTATATACAATATCTAATTCATCTTCCAAAGAATATGTAAAAGAATTTTTAAAAGAGTTTTAAATGCAATTGGCTTATTGTTAAAAAATGAATTGTAATTTGAAAAAGTTTCTAAAGTTTGATACAAATCACATTGTTTAATATGGTGGATACAAAGATGGTGCTTAATATCTGTCATTCTAAATATGACAAAAATTAATATTCTTTTCATGTAAGAGCAATATCTTCCTTTTACCCTGCATCATTCCAGAAAACAAGATAATTAGAACTTATAATTAACAAAATTTATCGAAATTTTCTATAGAATACTTAACATTAGCAGCTCCGTGGTAGTGAACAGCGAGCATAATTTCCGGTACATGGAAAAATAACAGTGACATAACGACGCACCGCAACTGACATAACGACGCACCGCAACTCACTGCCTTTTATACTTTCTGTCATTGGCTAATTCCTCACATTCATGTCACTACCTGAGCTCATGGTTAGCAGCTCCGTGGTAGTGAACAGCGAGCATAATTTCCGGTACATGGAAAAATAACAGTGACATAACGAAGCACCGCAACTGACATAACAAAGCACCGCAACTCACTGCCTTTTATACTTTCTGTCATTGGCTAATTCATCACATTCATGTCACTACCTGAACTCATGGTCATTGATTTCCAAAATGATGATGAAGATTTTCAGGCGTAGACGTTCAGCCCGAAGTTCACTGATTTACCGAATTTGGAGGTCGTGAATGTCGAGTACGCGAGTGGGGATGATGGATGCGAGTCCTCTACGTTTGCAGCTCCGAAGGGGCGGGAGCTGTGGAAGTGCAATTATCGGATTCGCGGAGGGAGGAGAACTGCGATTTACAATACTCTCGATTCTGCGAAGAGGTTCGTCACGAAAAAAGGGCCTAGTTCTAAGGAGCAACTGCGTTTTACAATACTCTCGATTCTGCGAAGAGGTTCGTCACGAATAAAGGGCCTAGTTCTAAGGAGCAATTCGCATAAGAATTGGGAGTACAAGCTCAAGAGGCAAGAATGTTAGCTCATCAGGAGTTCCAAGCGTACTTCGAGAGTTCAGATTACTACCTGGACCATCAGTCGAGAAACTTCCCTGTAGCAAATTTAATGAGCAGCGACGAAGACGAGGGAGCTGCGCAGGCATCTCTCACACAGAGAACGTTTACTGGAATTTCCGTCTCCGCTCCGGGATCTGCTCCGAGCATGGCATTCGACAGCTGGGGAGCTCGATCAGCCCAAGCCTGTCTCCGGCTCAATCATGTATATGAACGTGAACCAGGAGGAGAATGGCAACTCCATCACTTCGAATTGCCCTTCGGTACGAAATCTACTGTGTCCCGAAGGGCAATTCGAACCGCATCATCATCAGTTATTATGCTGGAGTATACAGATACATCCTACGCGCTTTTTGCAGTCGCGTACGTGATTATCAGGGGTTTGGAAGAACTCATGATAATCAAGTACTTGCGATACCCAAAGACGAAATGTGGTAACAATCTATCGCTGCGTGTAGTCTCTGAGGATTCTTCACCTGTCTGTAAAGTCAAAATATTTGTTTCATTCATTTACATTTTATTTTTTTATAAGTGTCTTCCTGATTGTGCATTGCCTATAGAACTGAAGATTTAATCCAGATTTATATATAAGCTTTTCACAGAAAACTTACTCGCTTCAATTACGTCCTCTGTCACAATTCTATACAGCTGCAATCGTCGTCTCAGCAAAGTGTGTGAACAGTCAGTGACAACTAATCGAGCTCTGCCCGCCTCTGCCTTTGAACACTGCAACTCGGCAGTGAAGCGCGCTGGAAAGAAACATCACATACTGACGGATAGGAGATGAGTAAGCCGTTCAGTCATTAGTAAAGGGCTTCGTCTACAAGCTCTATCTCCTCAACACTAGCATCTGTTAAAATTCGAGTGATAGTGATCATGTAAAATTTCCGAATTCCGTCAACTGGAAATTATCAGCTTGACAATTTCTTGACACGTAACGTAAAACTACCAGAATTCAGAAGCCAACAGGCACTAGAGTTACAGGCGTGCAGAAAACATATCACGATCAAGCAGGAACGGCGGGGTTGTCTAACCTTGGCACGACATACGAGGAAGCATCGACGAACACCAGGAAGTTGGAGTGGCACAGCACAGACAAGCGGGAACTACGACCACGATAATACACACTTCAGCCTCCGGACCGACCTTCATATTCAAAATCACAATCAACCACGGAGTCAACATGCGAGTTACGGCGAGACAGTCCCAACAGAATCTCCGAATAACAGAATCAATGTCAAAATTGAAAACCTGGTACCCCAAATTCGAATAGTAGGCTTTAGAAACATCTACTGCTATTGATCTGAAGGTGGCATTTCGGATTTAGATCAAACAACAATTTGAGATGGGAGAATCTTGGCTAAGAAACTCAATCGGCCGTGTGTTGGCACATTTAGAGGACCCAGATTCATGGTGCTCGGACGTACTTGGTACAACTTTGTAACAAAGACAACAATAGGAACTTCTACAAGCGAGTTTGAATGCAGTAAGAACACAAGATAGATTAGCAACCTGCAAAAGCCTCGACACTAGTAGTTTGATTCACTTGTAGACAAAACGTGCAACGCATGCCGGAAAAGAAAAACGTCTCAGAAAGAACACAAAAAATTAGTGTCACTAAATGTACATCTATTATGCCAAAGTATGAAACAACTGAGTTAACTCAAGAAGACAAAACTGGGTCCAACAGGCACAAGGATCTACAAATGAATAAAACCGTTAAGGTCATCCCAAAGAATTTTGTATTTGACCTTCACATTGAGTTGTCGACAATTCGGGCATTGCCGACCACGTTCTGGCCAAAGCTCCAGCTCAGCTTGTGCTTGCTGTTGCAGCAAGAAAGCTTCAGGCTGCCAATGCTCTATCTCTTGAACCTCAACAAAGAGCTCACATTGTCCATCCCTGTTGCAACAATACAAATTAAGGGCTTTACTCGAAGTTAATCTCAACAGACGTACATTTCATGTTCAGAAGGTGCGGACCGGCCTTCATATCCAAAATCACAATCAACCACGGACTCAACATGCGAGTTACGGCGAAACATTCCCAACAGAATCCCCGAATAACAGATCCAATGTCAAATTTGAAAACCTGGTACCCCAAATTCGAACATTAGGCTTTAGAAACAAACAAATATCTATTGATGTTGATCTGAAGGTGGCATTTTGGATTCTAATTTTTCAAATGGGGTCGAGGCCGAGACGAGCATAAATGAAAAAGGAATGATGCTCGCGAGGTAATGAAGGCGTGCCACTTTTGAAGTCAATGAACGTCCGCTGAAATCGTAACTCATCAGAAACAGTAAAAGACTCGATCTGACACTCGTGACCCTACAAGATAAATTGAACTCAATTATGTTCAAGAAAGATCTTTTTGTCCGTGAAAAAGGAGAAGTGAAACTACTGAACTCATAATTGGCATCGAAGATAGAGCGAATGAATGAAAGAAAGCTCACGAGAATTACCTCCGCAGTCCCGGGCTCGCGAACAGGATGTCGAATTGACAAACTCTGCCCTTCAATCACAGCAACTTCAATGGGAGAATGAGGCGCACTTAGTAGGAGAAACTTGGGAGAATAAGGTGCATTGAACCGCTAAAATTGTTTTATAAACATCGTCTTACAGGCAAAACTCCGCTACAGGGAGTAGTCCGCGTCATTTTCTTATTGGATGCTGAATTCTTGATTAAGTTACGCTCCAAATCCCGCCCATCCATGCGCGTTTATGTCATTTATCCGCGGATAATTTACATACACTTTGTTACAATATTATTGTATTGTAATTTATAACAATGTAAATAAATTGAATCTACATACAATATAACTATTTTTAAAAATGTATATATACTAACAATAAAGTATATATATTAAAGAAATATATGTATATTAAAATATTTATATACATTTATTTAACTAGTAATTTAGAAATCAAAATTTTATATAATATTAATAGTTTGTTGAATGAAGCTATACTAGAATGAAATGAAAACTCATCTTAATTTTACTTTAGATGTATATGTGATAAAAAAATGTAAAAGATAATATATTTGTGTTTGTAGATATTATACAGTGTATGTCATCATTGAAAGACTTTAAGCCATAGTTGTATTTCATAAAATTATGGAAATTGAAAATTCTTGAAGCTGAATTTTGCAAGATTTTTATCATTTCTTATTAAAAAACATAAAAATCTAATAATCATTGTGAAGATGAGTTTATTCAATGATCAGTTACTTTATTTTAATTTAAGGCAGTTTGAATTTAGATAAATAAATAAATAAACATATATACTTATTTATTTTTATTATTCATTTAATACACATGTAATGATTAATGAAATTTATGCACACAAATGATAATTATGGAGTAAAATTTGAATGAATTCCAATTTTTATACACTATATATGGTTTGATCTGATACTTCATATTAAAAAATAATATGAAAATAATTGTATTATGAAATATGTGAAAATATGATTTTGATATTGGATAGATTGTACTATCTTTGTAATGTGATCAAGCATGTAGATGTCTATATTTTTGTCCAAACAAACTAAATCTAGAATAATCATAATTTTTATATGATGATTATTTTAATTAAAAATGAACACAATAATATCAAAATCTATGTTCTTATCATATTTTGATCATATAAATAATTTTGTTTGTAGATGCTCATTATAAAATTGTGATTAAGTAGGGATATAAAAAACATATAAATATAAATATTTTATATATTTGTTCATGATATTTGAAATTTTGATTACTATTCACCGTAAATAAATGTTGTGTTGTCTTTGACTATGAAGAGAAGAATATCAATTTTTGATACTAACATTTTAAATAATTATATTGCATCGATAAAATTTTATTGAATAAAATGTGCAATTAAATTCATTTTGAAATTATTGTAATTATATAAATTGATTGATATTTTGATGTAAAATTCATTAAAAATATAATTTCATCATTTGAATATTAATATTGATGCTTGAGTGTTTTAAAATCATCAATGCTAAATTACACATTACGCTAGATTTAGACATTAGTAGTGATATAAATTTACATTTAATAGCTATGCAATTATGTCAAAGATCTATGTAACAAAAATGATATTGTGGAAAGTTGTATTTGTTTACAATAAAAACATCTGTTGAATTTTTTCTTGTTGTTTGATGTTGTGGTTTTTTCTTGCATGATCTAGGTATGTTCAATTATTTTATCAAGCTGCCTAGCTAGGAAGAAAAATATCATTGATATGATTTTCAAGTAGATATTGATACTTCATGAATGGTATTAACTTCTTTGACATATATCTGCAATATGTTAGTAATCTAATATGATTTGTTTTGAATGTGTTTATAAGTGGATGATGAAATTATGTGCTATGATGAAACCAATAGACAAATTTTAAGAATATATTGTAGCATACTATCTAATGTCTTTTGTTCCACAAATGCTATATTAGTTATTATGTTTAAATATTAGTTTACTGCATGTTACTTGAAAAACGTAATTATATATATATATATTTATATTTATATGTTGTGATGTTTAATATGAAAAAAATGGATAATGTAATTTGATTTATATTTGCACAATCGTAATTTTTGTAATTACTACATTAGTTGCATGTACAATATATAGTAACTATTAGCATGATTAGCTTATCTACAACTAATGTTGTAGCTCCCATCATAATCAACAATAATTTAAGTACATCTACTGTTCACAAGACTAGAGTTCAAAACTATGGGGCAGGATGATATTTTTAATACTTCAGATTTTGAAAGGTTGGCTATGATAGTAGCTATGAGGTATTTACTTGATGTTACTCATTGAAAACTAAATTGCTTGATGGGACCCATCAAGTTTCGTTGTACCCGATGGTACTCACCGACGGCACACCGTCGCGAAGTTCTAAAACAAGTTCCTATACATAGCGAGATTTTCATCGCTTGAAGATTTTGATGTTCGATTTGACTATATATTAGAAACCTTATCATCCATTTGATTCAAAGGGAGTGATAGATTATTATCAATTTTTGCAGGTTATTCATAGGCTTGGCCACGGTCCGGTCTGGACTGATGGTTAACATATTAGCTGTCGTTCACGTTTAAACGGTCTCAATTTTAACTGGTCTAAGAAAAAATTGTCACATTTATGTAGTTCAAAGAATTTGTATTGAAATTAATTTGTTTGCTTCAATTATAGAACTTAAAAGTTTTAATCAAGCTCTGATTATCTTCATTTGCTTAAGATTCAAAATGAGATCATTTCATTTGATCCGATTGTAGTAATCGATAATCGTAATTGGTATAGATTAGACTGATTGTCTTGAAATTCTTCAAATTTCATGATGAATTTGGACGGTTTACTCTAATTGCAATCGATTCCGATTGAAGAATAGCTTCATTACGGCAATCGAGCTTTTCTTCTCTTTAATCTTGAACTAACTTAATATGGTTACTAATTATATTGTAGTAGTTCAGCGTTAAGGCTACTCATTGAAGTTACGTTACAACTAACGCCGAGAGAAAGCTCACGGAGAGAGCTCAGCGCCATATCTCTTTCAGAGAAAAATTGACAATGGTCATAGATGGAGTTGGGGGATTAGGTACGAAGAAGTAAAATCATTAAGCTATATATTGGACCGGATAGCACACTGTCTACTTTTCAAATGCATTGAGTGATGTGCGGTGAGTGGTGTTTTATGAGTTCTTCTCTTGAATGCTTTGATAGATCAATCAATTGATAGTCTCATCTTTCTATTTTTTGAGATTGAGATGGATAATAAGGAAGAGTTATTGCATATGCGTTGTTGCGATTGTAGGCTAAAGTGTGATAGAATTTTGGCGGAAGATTTCAAATGATAATACTAAGGAGTAGGATCTGTTTGGTGTTGTAGAGAGGAGTCCGGCTGCCATTGAATGTTCAACTTTACATTGTAATCATTACCACAATCACCTTCTTTCTAATTGCTATTGTTGCTACTTGTGATTGTAGTTTCCTTCAGCTGCTGAATCTTTGATCCATCTTACCGCATATGTATCGAATATTGTCTATGATTGTGATTAGTTACATACCTCCGAGAGTATAGGATAGCCTGCCTTGTCCACTCATTCAACTTTTGAGTATGCGTGACGAGAAAAATAAAGTTTATCATCGGTCAGGTCGTTGCGTCCATTCATTCGCTGTCAAACCGATCTTATTATGGCTGTTGCATAGAGAAGAAAATTATGATAGAGCTGTGTGCAGGTTGTTGGTATCAATTGTTTCTCTTTGCTTTCATCGTCCGGTGTGGAAGCATAATTCCACATCGGACGTATTCTTGAGTATATTATCATGAATGATTTTGCTTAGTATTGACATTAATAATGCCTTGTTGATAGTGTCATAACATTTTTTAATATTGAATTCAAGCCATGAGGATGGATTCTTCCATCACATTTTGATGTTCTTATGCTTTTTTTGTGGCATCGTCAATTTGTAGATCTAAAGAGATTTTTTGCAATATTTTATTTTAATGTTGAATCTGCAACGCCTGAATTGGGCATGATATTTTTAGATTTTTTTTTATATTTCTCACTATGTAAATCCATTAGAAATTGATGAATTGCTATTGTCATCATCTAACAAGTCAATTTATTATTATTATTATTTGGATTTGAAAGCTTATAGTATCTCATGTGGTATTGCTTGCTAATTTGTTCATATTCTTTCTACTAGTATTGTCAACTACCATTCTGTATATTATTCAATTTATGCTCTGATTTATTAATTAGTCACGTAACATTATCGCTTAGAGATTGGTGCTTATATTTTGCTTCTCCAAGACCAGACTTGCCAAAACATCATATTTTACAATTCATTCATCATTATTGTAGGTTGAACAGCAACATGGATGAACACATTTTGTTACGAATTATAAATCATACTTGTTCCCCATTACACATGAAGAGTTTATCATTTTCTCCAGCCAAACAATTACAACATCCACTACGCTAAAGCGAAAGACAAAATCCTCTACAAGTTGAGTTTGGAATCAGTTCAAATCAGTGAAAAATTCCAATTAATCTCAAATCATATGCCTAGAGTCCATAGGTTTTCATAACATGATGTGCATTACATCATTTTTGGCCAAAACTATAACAAGCACGTTGTGTCGTCATCTCCTCGTAAAACACAATATGTCAAAAAATAAAAAAATAGACGATTATATAAAGACGTTTTTTGAAATAAACTATGAACTTTAGAATCTCTAAGAGCCGGTAGACAAGTCCAAAAAAGCCAATTTAAATGCCTTGGTTGTATTTGCCGTGGATCACCTGCAAATGTTCAATCTGGTCGAGAATGAAACGTTTTGATCATTCTATCGACGTCTCAATTTTCATTAATCACTGACATCGCAAGAGACGAACTCTAACACGCTCATTATGTAATAATTTTGAACAACCACTATTGAAATTTTGTTCAATTATAGATTGTATCAAGATAACGATTGTCCTCACTCTACATTGTTCATTGTCTCACGTGATGCGTGACTATATGATGATTGCAATACATTGGATTGAGCAAGAGTGAAAACTTTAGTAGATTGTGTTGAAATTTTGCTATTTTTCAAGTTCACACAATCAACATGCTATGGCGGACTTGATTCTTTTAGTGGTGAAAATTTCAATATATGAACCAAAATCAAAGCCGTTACATCTAATAGCGGCGGAGAGATGCCACCGGTCATGATCATTGTGAGACGGAATCTAAATGATCAATATTCTCTTTGTTCGGAGTATGATTTTCATATCCAATGCATTTCTCACGTCATTAATTATGATGTATGTGATGCTACACAATTCATCAAAAAAGAAGTGCAAATGCTCCGTCAGGTACTCAAAGTTGTTTGTAGATCGGTTGCTATTCGCGTCAAGTTTTCAAAATTGGCTTTGGTGTTGGACGTTCCCAAGGGCCGTGTTGAAGTTCCAAGTCTGGATGTAAAAATTTGTTGATATTCTATGTTCACTATGATCGACCAGTTGTTTCAAAATTGTGATGTATTTAAAGCGCTTAGTAACTTAAATTTTTTTTGTGATTGATTGGCCAATATGACTTTGTACCACATGGATTGAAATGTTCTCAATTCATGCAAAGACTTTTTGCAATCCTGTATCATTGCATTGTCGCTGCCAAGGGACGTGGCTACATCTTCCTTTTTCCCTAGCTCCAGATCTACAAGCATCTACTTATCTTGTATGAAAAAACCTGTTCTAGACAATTAGACATTGTATTTATCACTTCGATAGTCAAACAAGCTGATGCTGCCATGGAGCTTAAGTTGTTTAAATATAGTGCCAATTTGACTTGTCAAGCCTCCAAAATTGTTTTGCTTCCTGATCCTAGATCCAATAATGTGTACTCTGAAACGATGAAACTCCAAGATCTAATTCGATTTATTTTGACGATGGATTACGGCTTGTGTTCGGAGGAACTACCACCTTCAACTTTTGGTGTATTTGATCAATTTGCTCGAGAGAAAAACACTCTTATTAAAAAGACTTCTTAATGCTCACAGCGAAAGCAGATCGTCACGTGTCCGACGCACTGCTATGTGGGGAAAACACTACAATTGTTTCTCGACCTTGTCCATAATGGTTAGACACACGTTTATGATTCAATGTTCTTTGTGTTATCTGAATCCGCGTTTTTGGAAAGTGGTGGGATGTTCATTTGGATAGATTTAAATTTGTGTACAAAAACATTGAGATGATGATGACATTGAAATACTAGAATCGCTTATTTTGGGAGCGAATTCATCAAGATTGATAAAATTTGGACTGCATAACTCACTGTTTTTCTAAATCAATCAAGAGGACTGTGACCAAGCTTGGACCGGTTAAACTATCGATTAACTTTTAACTGGACTGTGGCCAAGCCTTATCATGCAAGAGCAAGATGACTTGTGGTTTGAATGATTGTAACGATGTCTGTCGGACATCGTGCATCCAAGCACCAATTTAATCATTGAAAGAAATGGTGTCCAATCATCTGTGGCTTTCACCAGTCAAGCTATGAGAAAATTTCCAAGTACAAGTCGCAAATCCAAAATTTCAGCTAAGAAATCATGATGCAACCGAATATGATCAATCTCAATTTTCTATTACCAACATGCACATCATTTATTCTTGTCTTCGTTTTAGCATTCAAATGTGACTAAACACAAAAAATCTTGCCCACAAGAAGCTATCTTTGGAAGAAAAGCACATGAGTTTCTTTGTTCGAGTGAAGTAATCTTGAGCTAAAGCAAGTATCAAATCATTGCCCACATTCTAAGCAATACATCTAATTTTGAAGATCTATGTCCATATGCAAGATTGATGCTCCAGAGCTCCAATATACGCACAAAGTCACGATCATTAGGTTCCACTCCATGCACGACCTGTTGATACTATAACATGTATGACGTGTAACGGTAGTGTATCTCATTGGGTAGAACAAAACTTAAAGTATACCAATAAGCAATTTAGGTTCCGATTGATCCATGGAATAAATAACTCTATTAGGTAATGCTGGATTTGTCTAAAGTGAAGTAAATTTTGTGCTATGATTTTGAGAGAGTGTATTGTGGTAATATTCTTGTGTAGATGTATGACTATCTTAATATAAGGATGTTAAAGTGACATCATATACATTGAGATGACTAAATAAAAATGATATATATATACATATATGTGGAACATACGGAGATAAAACCCCACTGCATAGAGTGCAATATTCAGAAACCCATGATAAACATGATGTAGTGGACGTCTTGACTTAATTATACCATTAAAACATTGTTCTCCAAGTAATACGCAAACTGGTGTCGAAGAGGAAACGCGGCGAACCTCATCCATGCGTGCGGGAACAGATTGGTCTTCTCTGTGACTCTGACGCAAGCTAGAGGAGTCGAGTCTGGTCATGAACCCGTTGACGCGACGTTTATCGGTCATCAAGGGCTAAAGAAGTCGGGGATTAGAAAGGACCACCGGTCACGGTGACTCATCGGTCGCCCGGTCTCTCTCCTTTGACTCGCCGTCGCGAGGGTACTCGAGATGTGTGGCGGTGGAGGTCGAGACACTTTCCTCCACCGTCGGTAAAGGTACTGTGCAGGGGCTCAGGCGGACTCACCGTCGGTATAGGTCTCGCGACGAATGCCGGGGCGGGTCGCGGGGAGGCCATGGAACGCGACACTTTCACTCCTCGAACGACACGGAGAGGTCGAAGGCAGAGAAGAGGGAAAGGTCCAAAGCCCTAGACGAGCTCTATAAATTCGCCGAAGGCAACAGATGGGAATCATTTGCTTCTTTGGAGCTCGGCCCCGCCGACGAGCTCCGATGTGCAGCTCTAGACGCGGAGAGTAGAACATGATGTTGTACACCTCCCTCCCAAAACTTGTAATTTGTAAAAGTACTGCCGAGACACACCGAGTCCGAGCGCGAATAACTAATTTAATAGGATAAGAAGAAGATTGAAGAAGTTGACGCAGCTCGGCCCGGAAACTAAGAGAAGGGATTTAAGGGATAAAACGGTGGGAAAATTCACTAAGATTGTGAATAGTTTTTTGCTCTGACTGGGAGGAAGTATGGATCAGCGTTTTGCATACTCCCCGGCCGACTTGGCTCGGGTGAAGACAGTGCAATTCGGCATCCTCGGGCCCGATGAAATTGTACGTTCTCGTTTTTTCTCGTGTCCTGAGCTTGTTAGGGTTGTACAGAATTCTCCCAGCTCGCAACGCATCGCAAAAGTAGCTAAATTTCTAGATGACAGTAAGGTTAGTGGAGTGTCCTCGCGAAGTCATCCGATTGTCCACTGTGCTGATAAAGAAAACTTTTGCAGTGCTTATTTCTCTTCCGTTTCTTCGGCTCATCTGTCTTTGTCTTTGGTTTGGTTTTTGGTCAATAGCGGCAAATGTCCGTGGTGAAGATCGAGAGCAGCGAGACCTATGACAGAGGAAAGCCCAGAATGGGAGGTCTCAGTGATCCTCGATTAGGTACAATTGACAGACATGTCAAGTGCGAGACGTGTTCGGGCAGTATGGCTGAATGTCCTGGACATTTTGGGCATCTCGAGCTGGCAAAGCCTATGTTTCATATAGGTTTTCTGAAGACTGTCTTGGCACTTCTGCGTTGTGTGTGCTACAATTGCTCACGAGTACTTGCTGATGAGGTGAGTGCGATCCCTTGTTCAGTGGTGTGAGCTCTTTACCTTTTCCAGTGAACGATGTTGATGACGCCTCAGTTTTCTCGCAGTTCTGAAATTTCCCAATACTACAGCATATACATGAATCTTTAAAATGGACAGTGTCTTGTGATTTTACTCGCCTTATTCTACTTATCTAGTTCAGCTCTTTTCTTGTCTCGAGGATTTAAAAGCAACACATTGGTCACCGCAGCAGGGTTAATATATCTCACTAGCATGACAGTGGGGGTCGCGGGTTGTAATTGGAATGCCCGATTCGTTTCTAGAAATATCACTGCAAAAGGTGGCTAGAAACGCATGGTTGTGATGAGTATCTGTTAGTCAACAGGACGATCATCGTTTCAAGCAAGCGAAGAAAGTGCGCAATCCGAAGCATAGGTTAAAAAAGGTTTTAGAGTGCTGCAAGAGCAAGACGAAGTGCGAGGGAGGTGACGAAATCGAAGATGATACTAAGGAGGAGATTGAAAAGAAGAAGAAGCACGGTGGTTGTGGAGCACAACAACCAAAAATTAGCATAGATGGCATGAAGATTATTGCCGAATTTAAGCAACCTCGAAAGAGAGCAGATGAACAGGACCAGTACATGCCTGAGCCTGTTGAAAGGAAGCAACAGCTTAGTGCCGAAAAGGTTCAGTCTTGAACTTGGAACTCGTAGATCAACTTCATTTTTTGAGTTTTTGAAAGTCTTTTTTGGTCTTCCGTAGGTTCTTAAAATTGTAAAGGCACGGCAATGAGGATTGAACCGCTGCTAGAGGCAGATTCTTTGATCCTTTGCCTTATGATCATTTGCTGTGTATATGTTTTCGGGGAAGCTCACTCTTGTTCTGATCATCTCAGATTCTGAGTATATTGAAGCGAATCTCAGACGAAGAAATAACCTTGCTGGGTTTGAATCCGAAGTTTGCTCGACCTGAATGGTTGATATTGCAAGTGCTTCCGATCCCTCCTCCACCTGTGAGGCCATCTGTAATGATGGATAGTTCAGCACGAAGTGAAGTACGTCTCTCAGCTTCGTCTTGATCTGAAATTTAAGGTATTAAGTGGTTAAAGACCTAATAGACAGGGTCTAGGATCATCACAGGGCTACTTTCTGTATCTCACAGAGTACCTATCTGTGGTACTAATTTGATTCTAACTTGTTCTCAGGACGATTTGACCCATCAGCTTGTTATGATCATTCGCCACAATAACAATCTTAAGCGCCAGGAGCAAAACGGAGCTCCAACTCACATTATAAACGAGTTTGCACAGCTTCTTCAGTTCCACATTGCAACCTACTTTGACAATGATTTACCAGGGCAACCAAGGGTAATCTATCTGGCTTTGCAGGAGATCTTGAAGATTTTTGCTTGAGCGTTGTCAGTTGTACTAGTCAAACATTTCAGAGCATTTCATGGACTCACTGCTGCTGATAGATTGGCCATGGTCACGTGGACAGGCTACCCAGAGATCTGGAAGACCCATTAAGTCAATATGTCAGCGGTTGAAGGCCAAAGAAGGGCGTATCCGAGGAAATTTGATGGGCAAGCGTGTGGATTTTTCTGCACGTACAGTCATCACGCCTGATCCAAATATCAATATTGATGAACTTGGAGTACCTTGGAGTATAGCTTTGAACTTGACGTACCCAGAAACTGTCACCCCGTACAACATGGAAAGGTGCGTCTGGATTTTATCACTACATTAGGTATGTTAGGTTTGGCCATTGAATGTATCAGCGTCCATATTTGACTTCCGTATGTCCTAATTCTTAACTTCATCGTTCCAGATGAATCTGTGTCAGATATGTTCATGAACATATGACAATTATTTAATTCTCAAAGCATCCCTGATTGTGGTTACTGTCTCTTGAGAAATAGCGGCTAGTCCCACAAAGTAGAGGGATGGCGCCGATTAAAAATATTTCTTATGTCGTTCAGGTTGAAGGAGCTTGTAGAGTACGGGCCTCATCCACCTCCAGGGAAGACTGGAGCGAAATATATTATTCGAGAAGATGGCCAAAGGCTTGATCTTAGATTTTTAAAGAAGAGTAGCGACCGCCATTTGGAACTTGGTTACAAGGTATGGCTCTTTCTTGGATAATGGTCGAAACGCGTATTTTTCTGAGCAAACATCCGCTGTTTTTTTCCATATGCTAACGGGAGCTTGTCTGTTGCAGGTTGAGAGGCATTTAAACGATGGAGATTTTGTGCTTTTTAACCGGCAGCCTAGTCTGCATAAAATGTCCATTATGGGTCATCGAATCAGGATTATGCCCTACTCAACTTTTCGACTTAATCTATCTGTGACCTCCCCGTACAATGCTGATTTCGATGGTGATGAGATGAACATGCATGTGCCCCAATCTTTTGAGACAAGGGCTGAGGTCTTGGAACTGATGATGGTTCCGAAGTGTATTGTCTCGCCACAATCCAATAAGCCAGTTATCGGAATTGTGCAAGATACTCTTTTGGGCTGTCGTAAAGTTACAAAGAGGGATGCCTTTATTGAGAAGGTAAGGATCTCAGGCTGGACCAATGAGAACCGCGAAGGCAAACTAGTGAAGTCCGCGTTGTGTTTCCTTTTCGCAAACTTGAGTTCAATCTACAATGTAATGCTGAATAGTGCAAACCTAAGTTGCAGTATATGTCTCAATTCAATGATAGCGAATGGGCTCGTCAAACTGAGATGTAGTTGGAGAGGCCTTGAGTATCTTTCCAGCCTTTATTTTCGTCAATATCACTCTTGATATATCTACTTTCCGAAACTCATATCTTCTTTCCTGACATCCTCTGAACAACTGTCGGGACGTCTGCAGGATGTTTTCATGAATATTCTGATGTGGTGGGAAGACTTTGATGGGAAGATTCCAATTCCGACTATCCTAAAGCCGAGGCCAGTCTGGACAGGCAAACAGGTTTTCAATCTTATCATACCAAAGCAGATCAACCTCATGCGCCAGTCCTTTGGACATCCAGATGGAGAAACTGGAGACATGTCTCCTGGTGACACTGTTGTGCGTATTGAGAAAGGAGAGCTTGTGTGCGGCATTTTGTGTAAGAAGTCACTTGGTACATCCGGTGGTAGTCTCATTCACGTTATCTGGTGAGCTGGTTCGCTGTTCTGTTTTTAAAAAACAGCTACCCCACCCTTCAGAAATCTTTGTAATCTATGTTGCACAGTGTCCTTTCAGTGCCATGTGGCGAGAATATATCTCGATATTGTTTCTCTGCTGAATGAGCTTACTATGTTGGTTTAAAGCGTATTTTGTATCCTTGGCTTACGCTATTTGTGTCTGTTACACTGTTTGGTATACAGGGAGGAGGTTGGTCCAGATGCCGCCCGCAAATTTCTTGGGCACACGCAGTGGCTGGTCAACTACTGGTTGTTGCAACAAGGTTTCAGTATAGGTATCGGAGATACTATTGCTGATTCAGCAACTATGGAGAAGATCAATGACACCATTGCCAAGGCCAAAAGTGATGTGAAAGAGTTGATCAAGCAGGCGCAGGAGAAACAGCTTGAGGCCCAGCCTGGTCGTACGATGATGGAGTCTTTCGAGAATAATGTCAACAGGGTGAGTTGCGTCTATTTCCCTCAGAGGATTATTTAACACTTTTAATGCTTTAAACTCAGTCTCTGAGTTCTGTGTAAGAGTTCCGATGAGTTGGGGGATGTAATGACTCCGAGAGGTCCTTTTGCTACCTTTTGCTATTTTATTTGCTAACAAGCAAATAAAATAAATCACTTTCTACGTGTCGAATTCATGTCAATCAGTATTACGAACCTTCCTACAGTTTTACTGACTTTTTGTTTTCCGCATTTTATTTTGACAATGTTCCATGCGATTGTGCGTCAAATTTCAGGTGCTAAATAATGCTCGTGATGAAGCCGGTTCCAGTGCCCAGAAAAGTTTGTCCGAGAGCAACAACTTGAAGGCTATGGTTACGGCTGGTTCCAAGGGCTCCTTCATCAATATATCTCAGATGATTGCTTGTGTGGGTCAGCAAAATGTCGAAGGAAAGCGTATACCTTATGGGTTCATCGATCGTACGCTACCTCATTTCACGAAGGATGACTATGGGCCCGAGAGTCGTGGTTTTGTGGAAAATTCATACCTTAGAGGGCTTACACCGCAAGAGTTCTTCTTCCACGCTATGGGAGGAAGGGAAGGTCTCATCGATACTGCTGTGAAGACATCAGAGACAGGATACATCCAGAGGCGACTTGTGAAGGCTATGGAGGATGTCATGGTCAAGTATGATGGTACAGTAAGGAACTCACTTGGAGATGTGATCCAGTTTCTGTATGGGGAGGACGGTATGGACTCTGTCTGGATCGAAAGTCAGAAACTTGACTCTTTGAAAATGAAGAAGAAAGAGTTCAACAACACTTACAAGTTCGAAATAGACAGAGATGACTGGAACCCTGACTACATGCAACCAGAGGCAGCAGAGGACATCAAGACCATCCAGGAGTTCCGCAATGTCTTTGATGCTGAGGTGCAAAAGCTGGAGGCCGATCGTAGACAGATGGGAACTGAAATCGCTCCTAGTGGAGATCCAAACTGCTACCTGCCTGTGAATCTGAAAAGGCTGATCTGGAATGCCCAAAAGATTTTCAAGGTTGATACCAAGAAGCCCTCTGACATGCATCCGATGGAGATTGTGGAGGCTGTTGATAAGCTTCAAGAGCGTTTAAAGGTCGTTGCCGGGGATGATCCTATCAGCATGGAGGCCCAAAAGAATGCTACGCTCTTTTTTAACTGCCTCTTGCGCAGCACGCTGGCTAGCAAGAGGGTTCTAAAAGAGTGGCGGCTTCCAAAGGAAGCTTTTGAATGGGTAATCGGTGAAATTGAGACTCGGTTTTTGCAGTCCTTGGTTGCCCCAGGTGAGATGATTGGGTGCGTAGCCGCCCAGTCGATCGGAGAGCCTGCAACACAGATGACTCTTAATACTTTCCATTTTGCGGGAGTGTCTGCTAAGAATGTGACTCTCGGTGTGCCCCGGCTGAGGGAAATTATCAATCTTGCGAAGAAGACCAAAACTCCATCCTTGTCTGTGTACTTAAAGGCTGGAGTGAACGGTGAAAAGGACAAAGCAAAGAATGTGCAGTGTGCACTGGAGTACACTACTTTGCGAAGTGTGACCCAGGCTACAGAAATCTGGTACGATCCAGATCCAATGAGTACAATCATTGAAGAGGATGTGGAGTTTGTTCGGAGCTACTACGAAATGCCTGATGAAGATGTCGCACCTGAGAAGATTTCACCATGGCTTCTACGTATAGAACTAAATCGTGAAATGATGGTCGACAAGAAACTTACGATGGCAGACATTGCTGAGAAGATCAATTTGGAATTTGATGATGACCTGACTTGTATATTCAATGATGACAATGCGGAGAAACTCATCTTGCGAGTGCGCATTATGAATGATGAGGCACCGAAGGGAGAAGTACCTGAGCAGTCAGAGGATGACGTGTTTTTGAAGAAGATTGAAAGCAACATGCTTACAGAGATGGCCTTAAGGGGGATACCTGATATTCGAAAGGTTTTCATCCGAGAAGCGAAGACACAAAAGTTTCATGAGATTGATGGTTTTAAGCCTGAAAAGGAATGGATGTTGGATACCGAAGGAGTGAACATGCTGGCAGTCATGTGTCACGAGGAAGTGGATGCTACAAGGACGAACAGTAATCACTTGATAGAAGTCATAGAAGTACTGGGAATCGAAGCTGTGCGGAATGCCCTTCTGAAAGAACTCCGAAGTGTTATTGAGTTTGATGGTTCTTATGTGAATTACCGTCACTTGGCTATTCTGTGTGACATCATGACATACAGGGGCCATCTCATGGCGATCACTCGTCACGGTATCAACCGTAATGATACTGGACCTATGATGAGGTGTTCTTTTGAGGAGACAGTGGACATTTTGTTGGATGCTGCTGTGTATGCGGAAGCAGACCATCTGAGAGGGGTCACGGAGAACATTATGCTGGGACAACTTGCTCCAATTGGCACGGGTGACTTTGGCCTTCACCTGAATGAGCAGATGTTACAACATGCCATTGAGTTGCAATTGCCCAGCTTCATGGAGGGACCGGGTGACTTTGGGGTGACCCCCGCAAGAGGATCTCCTATGATCGGAACCCCGCATCATGAAGGCATGATGTCCCCCAGCTACTTACTGAGTCCGAGCATGAGATCATCTCCCATTTCTGACTCTGCTCAGTTTTCTCCATATGTTGGGGGGATGGTTTTTTCACCATCTTCTCCCGGTTACAGTCCTACATCTCCTGGGTATAGTCCTCAGTCACCCGGATATAGTCCAACATCTCCTGGGTACAGTCCAACTTCTCCAGGATACAGTCCATCATCCCCTGCCTACAGCCCAACTTCACCCGGTTACAGCCCCACCTCTCCCGGTTATAGTCCGACTTCACCTGCGTATTCCCCAACCAGCCCATCCTACTCTCCGACATCGCCGAGTTATAGTCCTACCTCACCAAGTTACAGCCCTACGTCCCCAAGTTATAGCCCAACTTCACCTGCTTACAGTCCTACATCTCCGAGCTATAGTCCGAGTTCTCCAGCCTACAGTCCTACTTCCCCGTCTTACACTCCCTCTTCTCCTGCCTACTCTCCCACTTCTCCGAGCTATTCTCCTACTTCTCCAAGCTACAGTCCTACGTCCCCTGGTTACAGTCCTACAAGTCCTAGTTACAGCCCAACATCCCCTAGTTACAGTCCGACATCCCCTAGTTACAGTCCGACCTCCCCTGCGTATTCTCCCAGTAGTCCGAGATATTCACCTTCGAGTCCATCATACAGTCCTACCTCACCAAGTTACAGGTGGGTGATGAATGAGCAATTGTATTTCGAGCTTCTTCTCTTTATCTTGAATAATGGAAGGCATCCAACGTTCGATTTTAATGTAAAATCGGTTTGGCTTGAAACAAGTATCCCGAACGTTCTCTGATATATTTGATTTGCAGTCCGACGTCTCCTTCGTACTCACCAACGTCTCCATCGTACTCACCAACGTCACCTACCTATTCGCCTACGAGGTACTTACCTTTCTTTTCTGATTATATCTACTGTATCGTCGTAGTGGCTAAGTTGAAAGCTTGGTGTGCCATGACATGATGTCCATACAATGATCCGTTAGTAACTTTTGGGACACAAAGATACTAACATGACTTTAATGCCGTTTGCCTTGCAGTCCTGGTTACAGCCCTACCTCGCCGCAGTACAGGTATGGAACGTAAACAAATTTCGCTTATACGGTTAAATAAAACAGTTCTACCCTCCTATGCGTGTTTTTTACGAGCATTCGCCAACCATGTAGATCTCTACTTGTTACGATAAGTTGTGGGTATCTAATCGTGTCTCGAACCCAACTGACTCTTCGTTTCTTGCTGCAGTCCCAGTGGTGGTTACTCTCCATCAGCTCCAGGTTATTCGCCCTCAGCAGCTCAGTACACCCCAACCTACAGCAAGGATGATGGTCTTGGTGGCAACCGTTCATGACCGTGCGATGTTGATTTGGTTGCTCAGTACCCTTAATCCTAATTGCAAAGGGGTTTACTTGATTTCTTGCTGTCACGTGTCAAATGCTGAACTCCTCATTATAGGAGTCAGGGTTTCGATTTGTACATTTATGTAATTGTGATGAGAAGAGGAAGAAGAGAAGGAAAACTTAAAAGTCAGAAGTCAGGCACGAGTTGAGGTGTAGGGGAAGATTTTTGATTTGGCCCCGTTTCATACGACTGAAGTTTTCCTGCTATTCAAGGAAAAATTGTACAGTTTGCACCTAAAGCCAAAAGAAACTACTAAAGTAGAGGTCGACTGGTAAGACTTTTCGAACCTGGCCACATATCCAGAACTCGTCGTGTTGCCTCGAACATGTCTCGTTTTTAGTTGCGGTTCTGGGCCCCAAATGTGCTGTTGCGACTAGGGCACACATGTTAACAATTATACTACAGAATTGGCCTTGCTTGATTGCGTGGCGGGCACTCGTGTATTATACTGTCCTTGAAACACACCAGGGGTCGACAGCGAGTTGATTCTCGTAGATGTCAATCTGGTTCATATTTAAGGGTGTAGGACGCAATTTGAGTCGTCAGCAGGCCTTGTGCAACCCTTTTTGGTTATCAGATGCCCGGGCAAAAGCGAGTGATACATTTTGACGAGGATTTTAGCCCCGAAGTGAACTTAATAACGTTCTACGGATAAAAGATGACTTGCGGAAAAATTTCCCAGGCTGTTTCCGAGTCTGTAGAAAATGGGCAACCGCTGAACGAGAAAGTATTTCAGTGCCGGATGCCACGACTTATCTATTCTGTACTGGCATTATCTGCCAAATTTTGCCTTTAAATATTGATATGGCTTTGTGCATCATTTCGGAACTGGTGTAGGATGTAGTCGAACCTTGCACTGGAGAGAGACTATTTAATTGGAGTAGTGGACTTTCACATGGGACACATCGAACTCATACTATTTAACAACCAAGGCGTCATGTATCCATGACGCCGAGGCTGCGGTGACCGGGGAATTAGCGTACACAGACGTCACAGGGAAGATATCTCCTGTGATGGAATTTCTGTTAACAAACATTAACGCTCGGACAAGGTCGTGCGAAGAGAGTGAACTTTCCTTTAAGCCGAGCTAAAAAATTTCTTACACCTGTAAGAGTCTAGGGGGAAGCTATACATAGCTGGTGATACTTGAGCTGTTGTCTTTTGCACAGTACCTGAACCGTCTGCCAAGCACCAGGACGGAATTTTACCGTATTGAGACTGGCCGTGACTTTTTCTATACAATATTATATTGCGACATGAAATTTGTTTCCTTACACTTTTTGACTAGACTTTATGCTCCACTTTGGTGAAACGGTCCATTTCCTTATGCACATTCTGCTATTAATAGTTCTCTTTTCGCTTCTATGTTACTCTTTGATTCTTAACAAAGAGTCAACGTCAATATATTGTGCATGTACCAAAGCGTAAGACACCAAGTCAACATATACACATTTAGTAGAGGTTATGTGAGTTTACACTAAACTTGCCAATTCGCAAGTTTGTTGTTTCCAAACAAGCTTCTTATTTCATGTGCATGCATTTATCAGTACATTTCTTTCATCATCATTGCTCTTGAACTACAGTATGGCTTTTCTTTTTCCATCTTGCAAAGGGCAAGCATTTTTTTATAACCATCACATTCATTCGGTTGTAGATCTAACAAAAGCGGAAAAAGGTGATGCTACAAATGATTCATCGTCCAGTAGTAATGAACATATTTAATAAGAATATCGATAATAGGTACGGGATTTCTCATGAGATATGTATCACACTTTAATGGGTAACTAAATATCGAAAATATTTTAGATGTTTTCATGTAACTATCATCCTCTTTAGAAGAATCATTATTCTAAAAAATGTAATATGTCTAAATAAAAAGTAGTAATAGTTTTTTGTAACGAATTTACAGTCGAAACATGTAAATGTATTGAAACTAATGTATTTCATATCATTATTTTAAATGATATGAAATACATTGTAAAATAACAAAAAGTTGCAATAGTTTCCAAATTGCATCTTGAATCCTTTTACCACGTTCATATAAAAGTTTCAATGCTCAATTTTGAAAAGATTGAGGAAAAAATATCATTGATTTTGTTCGGAGCTGTAGAGTAGTATATGAAAACTAGAGTTGGAAACAATTTTCCATAATTTCCAGAGATAATAAGAAAAAAATGTCAGTTTCCGGATCAGTTTTGAATAGTATATCCTACCATCTTGACCATATGTCTATAACTACTTCACTATTAATTTTGCACAAAATGACCACAAAAATAACTTTGGAGTTGCTTTTGCAGTTTTTTTGACTGTAAAAGGACAAGATAAGGGCTTGACCTAGTCTTTCAAGGATGATTGATTGTTAATGATTGATCAATTGTTTGTTTATTCCTAATGATAAATTCTGAAATATGTTTATCTTTGTCTCACAAGTAATAATGTTTGTACCACTATGTGATTCAAGGGACTTGTGAAATGTCTGACCTTTATGAAGATGAATGATATTTGTTGATCTCAAGCCAGAACTGAATGATAACGGGGGCTATACATTTATCATCATTATCCTAAGTTACTTTCGTGGAAAAACCATAAATCTTACCTTTAGACATCACATTTGGACAATCTTTGTCATATGTATGATAGCTAAAACGAATGTTTCACAGGATGGTTGTTACCAGAAACAACTTCATAATTTTCCTTCTCTCTCTTCATTTAGAGCCGTAGGATTCTCCTCTCATAGAGGACATTGCATTATAGCCTGGTTGCTCTGCACTCTCACCAAAATTGACATAATCTCCACAAACAAACACTCATGTGATGAGACTGAAGCCCAAATTCTTACGAACTGAATTTATCAAGAAAAATTTACCTGGAAATTTAGTTCCTAAGAGATCAACACCGATCATGCCGTGTTATTCTTCTCCGCAATATAGAGGAAAATGTGACGGAGAAACAGATCTGTTTTGCATTCCAAGGACCCCAGTTCCTATTCCCCAGACACGGTTTCAGAGGTTTCTGTGAACCTCGTACCCTTAATTTGTTAAGCGTTCAATTAGACATCTGTAAAGTAAGTCTCTTAACAGGGCTTTTGTTGGTTCGTGGGATAGATTTACTTGTCCTGGGGTCTCTGATTGCAGATTGACGTTCTGATTGCCAGTGAAATCCAACTACTTATAGAAATTCCTCCATCTTTTCTTAAACAGTTTGATTTGGAGTTTCTGCAAACCTTGATGACTTCAATGAAGACTCACGATCCAATAAACAGCACAATGCTTTTGAATGAAAAGGAATGAAGACTGGGCAGATTGGGCCGATAAAAACTCCTTCGCAGTCCTCGGAACATCTGATTCGTTCGAAGTCTGTGTCTTCCCTGAGATATATAGACTCAATCTTATACTAATACATCTCGATCTCGTGCGACATCGTTACACAATACTTTCTTTAGTACCCAAAAATTGAAGTCTCATGGCCCTCTTGATTTCTAAGAAGGCACTTCGGAGATTCTCTACAAAATATGACCTGTCCTTCACAGAATGCACACTGGACCTTAATAGTAGTAATACAATCATAACACTACAGAGAAGACTTCAAACAGGGCTACGTGTATTCTGTTTGGAATAACATGCGAGGAAAATCACATGAATTTCATCTTGTCCTCTGTTCCAAATGAGTAACAAGTCGTGAAATATCTGTCAGCTTTCATGACTATAAACTTTAGTGTCGTCTCGGTTACATTGTGAAACACCACCCTTTTAAACTCATCTACTCTGAGTCTGGCTGCCCTGTACATGTTCTTGTTCAACTGTACAAAAAGAGAAACTAGATATGGTAAAGGATTCCTTTTCTCATAATCATCCTCCTGAATGAAGTTCCTCACAGTTTCCCACCTTAGTCAGTAGGAGCTTAGGGTGGGATCGGTTGGGAGTGTTTCTAGGTGCCGTTTGGTTCTCGATCGAGTTGCTTCTACAGAGGAGGGCCTGGTTTTCCAGGTTCTCAAGACTGAAATCAGATTTTTATTGCTAAGTGAGATTATCGAGGCAATGAATAATTGATAGCAATTACTGGAGAGATGATGCCTATGTGGCTGTCATAGGTCTAGTATAGTTGGCTGAGATGGTGAACAATAGGTTTTACTTTTTCAGTCTAGTTGGCTGGTCCGGGGAATCTAAGACATCTATAGGTGAAGTCAACTAAGTTTGTAATTGAAATGCAGTAGTGTGTTATGTGGGTTGGTAGGTGGCGGTGACATTGCTAGTTTTAATAGTACATTTCACATCTAGTTTCACCGCTTGGGAAGCAGTACTCTGACTCACCCTGAAAAACTTATGTTATCATGAGTTTATGACTTATAAGTGAATCCGTAAGTTAAGATGGTGATTCAAGTCCGAGAGTATTTAAACATTGCTTATCTGCTAACTCGTTTATTTTGTTTTGGTTTTCTGATAACTTTGATTCTATAGATATTGAAAGTTTAGCGATATGTCTGAGTGATGGTTAGTGACTCATAGAGGGCAGAAGGTCGAGTCGTTTGAAGTTAGATAAATAATTGTCTTTTACCGCATTGATTATAAAATGACAATGTACAGTAGCCTCGCACTTAAGCACACAATTTATCAGAAAATTTTCAAGTATCAACATTTTCAGCTAATTCATTGTAAATTTCAAAGATTTCAACATTTTCAAAAATTTTATTGTAAATTTCACAGTCGAGACTACTACATTATTCAATGCCCAGGGCAAGTGAAAGTAAGCAAGAGAAATCTAACCATCAAGGGCGGGGTTGGTAAAAGGCCGAGATGCAAATATCTCGTTCCAATAATCTAGTTTTTTGCTTCTTCATATCATGACACATCTAGCGCAAAAATGATCACACCGAAAAGAATGGTAGTATCATATGGTGCATGAGACCCATATTATTAAATGGGGGTGGGAGGGGGAAAGTAAGCGCTTGAAAATAGGCAAAAAACCACAAAATAATTGCGCAATGCCAAAAATCCGAAAGATCTTTGACACTCGCAATTGAAGGGGCTGAGAAAATTGTCCACTAATTGCTAGATGTATCATTAATTTCATACTCACGCACTAAAGTGTGTTTGCTTGGAAAATTTTACTTTCTCCGTTTTCAAATGATCTCACATCGTTGTGATTGGTTCTGTCATTTGATATTCAATTTCTTGGATATTGGAGCTCTATGCAAATGATTTGGAAATGAAAATGTTAAGTACGCATCTCCCGGTTAAGTATGCACAGAAGTTTAGGGTTCAAGGTGCGTAATTAAGTGGAAGACTACTGTATTTGATAGTTCAAATATTTGTGCCCTTGGGCATTTGATGTTTCTTCAATGATGCAACATTGGAATGGGATTTTCTTTAAGAATGAGATTTTTCATCTGTTTTTTGAAAAAAATAGTGTGCATTGTCATCTTTCTGGTGTTTATATCTGATTCTTTTCATGTTCTTTAGCTTGATGAATGATGTTGTGCTTTTTTTGACTATACTACAAAATTCTAATAAATTATCTTATAATCTTAAAACGTTTATTCCTTACAATATATTATAATCTAATCAAGAGTTTTTGTTGCTAGCTAACAAGCGAAAGCTTTTAGTTATTGGCTTGTACAACCAACCTTGTCACTGTATTCAATTATGAGAACATCCTCCCTTGATAGATTCCATCGAAACTCAAATTGCTTATTGTGACTTCTAAGTTTTGTGTAACCCTATGAGATCCACCTATTACACACGTCACACATGCTCTACAGATACTAGAGCATGTGTAGATACTCTAGTATCTGTAGATCGCTAGAGTGGAACTTTGCCAAGAAGCGTATAATGCATTTGGACAAGAACAAAAGTTGATCGCGAAGGAGAGTGATAGAATGAATGGCTACATATTGAATGAATGGTTACACACAATGCTCTACCAAGTGTGCTCCACATCGCAAGTATGGGAAAATTGACGCATGCCAGCTTGGATCCTATCTTGTTCTTGTGCATTCTTCAACGTCAAGTTGGAATGGTGATCTTATAGAGTACAAGTTTGGAAGTTGCACAACATGGCTCATCTTGAGCAGTTCCAAGCATTTTATTGACCATAATAAATTGAATATTTTGTTGCAACGGGGTAAAAGAAATCAAAAATTGAATATGAATTTTTCACAACGTTGTTCAATTTCGTGCAAGGGCAAAAATAACAAAAACAGATGGCTTAATTATGGTCACGGTTTGAGTCCAGAGCCCAGGCCAAAGTCGCAATTCCAACTTTCCTTTTGGCCTTGTCAACGTTGCCTATCAACCTTCTCTTGATGCTGATGAGACAAAAAAATGGAGATTGGATGACAAAATTACCGAGCTACAAGGACTACAGAAGCAGCTGATTTCATGCAAGAATTTGAGAAGAAAAATTTTGGCCATAGAGACCACCTGAAGAGTAAAAAATGCATTTAATGGCATTGGACGATTATAAATATATGTAAAACTAGCTATTGCTCAGGAGTGCAAGATGCTTGAAGAGAGAAGCTTGTATGTATGGAGTTTTTGGTTGACATTGGTCAAGATCATTTGTTAGATGTTAAAGGTTGGGAGTATGTATGATTCTACAAACATCTAGCATATCAAATTCAAATAAAGTTTCCAAGATATAGATAACAAGGATAAGACAGAGTAGTAGCAATTTGCGATTGCATAGGTCCATTCAAGCTCGCATAATATGTGACAGGAACACATTTTAGAACTTTGCGAAGAATGTGCTGTTGCTAGCGTCATATCGAATAAAACTAAACTTGATGGATCCTATCAAGCAATTTAGTTCCCGATGGGGTTCCATCAAGTAAATACTTTGTCTTTCAGTTGTAGGGGAATTGTCCATGAGTTTCAATGTCAAAATTTTTATTCTTGGCAATTAACCTTATACGAATGTTAGAAAAATCATGGGACGTATGTAATTCCAACTTGAAAAACTTCTTAGTTGTGTGATGTAACTCAGGGTTCTTGTGGTTGTCTGCTCTACTTGATACTCATTTCATGGTGTTTTGAGATGCGGTGCCAATATGATTCATTTAACCCAAACTCATAAGCTTGATAATCTATTGTTGTCTACAAAATTATGATATTCACTTTCAAATTTGAATCTAGTTTCGACTTGCTTCAAAGCAGTATCCCTCACTCAATCATGGGATTACGACTGCACGAAAGCAACGAGCAAAGATGTATTTGCAATAGCTCCTCAAAGGAATTAATGCCATTTGGAGGTGCCAATATGATTTATTTAACCCAAACTCATAAGCTTGATAATCTATTGTTGTCTACAAAATTATGATATTCACTTTCAAATTTGAATATAGTTTCGACTTGCTTCAAAGCAGTATCCCTCACTCAATCATGGGATTACGATTGCACAAAAGCAACGAGCAAAGATGTAAATTGCAATAGCTTCTCAAAGGAATTAATGCCATTTGGAGGCGGAAGAATCTGTGTGTCAACTCTTCTAGTACCTAAAACCAACTAATCAGTCATTTCACATATTGGGGTGAAAGCAATGCACTACTTCTATAATCCATCCAACAATTAGCTACTGCTGTTTCACTCCTGCCAGTATAACGGTTGGTAAGGGTAGAGCGAGGATCTGACGTAGTTACATGAAGTTACACTTATAGCAAATGGGAATCAATTGTGAAAGAATTAAACTGACCGCGAGCATGTTAGTGAGACACCAGGAGTGAAGACATGTGTTCCTATGGGAGGATAGATGTGCTGTCAATATCACTGACGTTCTCTATAGTGGGTTGCAATTGAAGCGAAACAATACATGAATGCTGACAATTTCTCATGGTTCCGATGTATTTACTCAAGTGCCGTAAATGTAAACCTTTTTCCTCGATACAAAAGGGTCACCTTGACCTTATTTGATCTGAGAGGTTCCTGCAGCCGCATATGGTCTTTACTCGATCAGTATTAGTCCTGTTGAGTTTCAGACGTGAATACCACACCAAAACAGAGTGAGGGTGCAAGATCATTCAATACGATTATTGCGCCTATGTGATGAGTATCTCCAATCTCCTGTTTGTCCTATTTTTATGATGTCACAGTTCTGAGAATGTCTAATTATATTCGATCATGGAGATTAACTGATTAGGAACATTGCTCTCCTGTGTTATATATGGACTAAGAGTACACTCCTCTTGGACTCTCTTGGACTCACTGCGACCTTATTTTGTAGATGTGGGTCAGTCTGGGCCACGTGGATGTGAATGGGACACAAACACTTTTGATTGTGTTGCCATAGGCGTGACATGCGATCCCAGACTACATAAAAATATATTTTCGGTTGTGGTACTGAAGTCTAAAAAATGAAATGTTAGGCTCTAGAATGTGAAAAAGCTAGACAAAGCCAGCCTTTTCGAAAATCACTTCCCATTTTGATATACTAATGGCGAGTTTCGAGCAAGAGCCGCCAACTTTAATCTCGTTCGATCGAATTCTCGTTTTACAAGAGCTTTAACGTCTACTCCATGAAAAATAACACGGGGTAGTTTTGCAGCTGAACGAACTGATTGTCGTGGGGTTAACAAGTGGCAGGGGCACTGGCGTGAATCCGTGAACTCAATAATGGAACTACTGAGACGATAAGCATGACATTCTTGTCGCGCTTATTCCTTGTTACGGGTTGACATTCCTGTCAAGCCGTGAACACGTCGATGAACCCATCTGATGGTGCGACTACTAAGGTGTTACTTACTTCAGGTATAAGGGGTCTGGGTAGTTTCTATGCAATTCCGGACGCCGTTATGTTTACGTGGAAATTTTCGAGCACATGACAAGTGGATCTATGCTGGCACTGTGTAACTGTGTGTCTATTACTCGTTTTCTTCTCTAAATTTGGTATCTTTACCCGTGTCAACTGTCATATGCTGTTTGAGCTCATGTCAACTTCAGAGACGACGACTTTCCAACATTGGCTGATACCAAAGTAACAAGCTACAGACCCTGTTGATCCTGGAATCAGGTTGTTGTCAAAGGGTTATCCAGGTGGAATTGGAGTCGCCTTGACTTTCAGGTGTGTCTGCGGGTTCCTCCGCCCAGGTCTGATCGAGTTGGGATGTCAGGTTTTCGATTACAGATGCAACGTAGCGTATATTGATTTGGTATATTTAAGACACTCAGATCTTGTCTGTGAAATCGGTAATTGGGAACTGCCTAAAAATTTCAGGTTAGGACTGTCAGTAGCTGACGGAGAACTCCAAAGCAGTTATTTGTAATGTTGTGTCGAAATGTTCCTTCGAGTACAGTGAAATTGGTCGAATTGAATTTCACTGAATTAGCATGCTGGGACTTCAACTCTCATTACTCATTCTATGTAGATTTCTAGGTTTGCTAGACAGAGACAGATGTTCTGGAACTTGCCAGCATCAATTAAAGGTTTTTATGTACTCTGCGGTGACTTTAGTAGACTTGTGGCAAAATCAGAAGCTAAATCTTCCCTTAGTTTCGTCCTGTTTGTTATAGAATTTCTGATTAAAGTGTGGACCTTCATTGCAGGCCAGGGTGTTCATTACAACAAAAAAATGGGCTATAACTCGTCCATGCCAACTTGCGACTGCAGGAGTCTCACCAAGCTTCTGTGCAATGAGGTCTCGATGATTTTGACAACTATCGTAGTACAGCTATTATGGCTGGTACTACGACCTAGCAGATCGGACTGTGCGCATGTGGGCTTCAGGATTCCTGATAATACTACCTTCGTCTTCTAATCGAATCTTCGATCGGAGTGTCATTAGCTGAAAATCAATGACGATATTCAAGAAAGTGAGTTGAGGGGAGCAGATCATATATGAAACGAGAGCGCTAAAGCTTAGAAGCGTTGATCATCTTCATCTGCTTGACCGTCGACATTGATCTTCAAATGAGCAAGTTCTTTTAGACACCGTTCGCGCAGTTTCGAAACATTCCCGCTCTGACAGAAGTTAGATAGTCTAGTAGAGGATCTCGTTGCCGGTTGACCTGCATGTGGCTACCCAAATCGGCTGTACTATAACATTGGCAAATATATAAAATCTCAGTTGCAGTGAAGAATTTTTTTTGGCCTTTCGGCCACTGCATTCAGACATTTGCTTACTCTACCAAGAATCAGCGACTTAATTGAGTTGAAAAAATGAAGACTCTCGAGGTTACGAACCCTTCAGTTTCCACACTGTTCGGATGAGGTCCAGTGAATGTTGAAGTTGAGATTTCTCCCATGAAAATATGCTGAACATAGCAAGCATTTCGTGGGAAGGGTCGTAGGAGATTGTAATTTTCAATCAGCCACTCAGTCATAGCAAATTCACAGAGGATCGTGAAATCACATTCACAAGAGTGATGTTGGTCCGTGCTCCTTCGATCTGTTGTTGGAGTTTGAATCATTGCGTTCCTTGCCGCTTCGTTTTCGACTCAGTTTCGATTAACAATATTAAATTCGTTCACGTAAACTTCAATAATTCAGAAGATTCACTGTAGAGCTGCACGTTATGGCAAAAGTGAGAGACCAGTGACGAGGGAGAACAATATGAACGATGGATTATTTTATGAGGAAAAATACATAAATAAGGAAAAAACGGAGTCCAAAATTGCCAAAGACAAGGATTGGTCATCAGTCTGATGTGACACCCGTTCCTCAAACATTGTAAGCACGCCAGTTCATTCTTATACATAGAATAATACACAAGAAAAAACATAGTACAGGTAGAAGTAAGAAAACTGATTAGCATGAGCGCAGCCTTAGCGATGTTTGAAAAAAACCTCAGATTAAGAAGATGCACTCAATTTTATAGTCATTGTATCTATAACAAGATATTGTCTCATTGCAAATTGTATCCAGTTTTCCCCGATAAAATTAATGGAAAAGTGCACAAAAAAAAAAGATTTTGCATTGATCATTTTGCCATGATCACTCGAGAAAACTGCATCAATAGCAAGAGGAGAAGGAACTTAAGAAGAAGTCGTTGCGTGAGGAGGCGAAGACAGAAAAGCACAGCGAGATAACGAACGTTGTAAATATAAAGTTAAGAGGCGGAGAGGAAAGTGGGAAAGAGACAGGATTCTTTAGCCACGCAGACTTTGACAAAAGTGGTCGGCAATGATTGTCAACCCATCACCGAAAAGAACAAGGATGTAGTACCAGTGAAGGCATCGATTAGTCAAACAATTGTAAATAGAAGTTTTGTCTGCAAATAAAGAAGATTTGATCTTCTACAAAGATGTTTTTTTAAGCTGAAGAGCACGTTACACTTGTAATTGTCATTCTTATATGTAGAAGTTTGCTCTTGGCACAGTCTTTGAAATGTGCAAATTTGAACCCATTATTTATTTGAAACATTATGTTTATGTGGAGAAAAGCAAGACTACGAAGAGCATAACAAAAAGCATTAGTGACATCATTGATTGTCATCGACGATCGGAATTATTGCAAGGATGTGGCCCTTGGATGAGTATACGCGTGGAAGAAGATTATTGTTTCTCTGTGAAAAGTGAACAAACTATCACTTCTCAAATATATTAAATTGTGCAAAGAGACTATTTTGTTGCTAAAGCAGATCACGAAGCTCGTGCCTGCATTTTTTTTTGGAAGCTTACAAAAGCACTGGCTTTTTGAAACGTGTTTGTTGGATAGTTCCATCGCTAAAGAGACAGACATTCATACATTTTCTTAGATAAAAGACATTCTTACATTTTATTTTTTTAGGTTACATATTCTTGACATGGAGTAGCACAAGTAGCAGGCCTTGTCATGATTCGTGAAGAGATCGACCACCCCTGGGCCCCAACCCTCATCATCATCATCCTTCGCTGCCCGACTAGTGACATAGAATCCGTTCATCAGCAAGCAGATGATGAAATGCAAGCTCTGCAGGACATTCGCCGCTAAGTTCTCGAACATGAGATCCACTGCTGTTTCTCCACTGCACAGGTGGGGTTTAGATTTTACACCTAACCCTATCTGCAAATGAGCTCGACCATTGGGGTCATTTTTCTTGTGGAAAGCCATTAGTATTAAACTTCCATCTAGGGTTTGATGTATTGACCATAAGGAGAAAAAGGGCTACAAACGTAGCTACATACCACAACCTTAGCTACTTGAGTCATCACAAGGTGGTAAGACCAGGATAACATAATATCTGCTGTCATCATATACATTCAACCTTCCTACATGTCTACGATTCATGTATTTCCCCCCTACAAGTTTTATTATTGAGAAAAGAATAGCAGTAGTCATGGCCTAGATACACAACCTCATTAACAACACCAACATTTCCAAATATTAAACATCAACACAACCAGGAATTTTTATCTCACCTATCGAACGCCAACCTACACAAGTAGCTCTTTCACAAGCCCCAAAAAAATCCGAGCCAGACTAACATACACTTGGAAGTGTATTCAAAAAGACTAAAAATCTTAAATCAGTAAGGGTTTTCACATGATTTATTGATTGTTGTACTTTTAATTTTGGAACTCACATAATAGAATATAATATTAGCGAGTATACATAGATTTGATGACTTAATATAAAAATCTTTTGTCTATTGATTTATTTGTGATGATTTGAATGTATCCTCATCACATGATACATATTGTAAGACATCTATGCTATACAATACAAATCACTGACTTCTTCTTGTATAGTGATCTTCATCTTGTAGAATTGAATGCTATTATTTCAAAGCGTAAAGAATTATGTTTTTTAATTATTATTTTTTCTCCAACTTTGATAAGGATGTAAGATATCAGTAGAGGAATTATGAGTTTGAGGATTTTGTGCACTCAAGCTAGACATGATACTTTTTCAAAATAAGTACAAAGAATAGCATATACTTTGCAATCGTGGGTTATTGTAATATTTTCTAGTCTTGTTCATTGATTCAAGGATCTACTTTGCAAAATTATTAAGTCTTTAAAAACATCATTGATAGTGTGATGTGTAATGTGACATGGAGATAGCATTTGTTGAGAAGTATGTGTGGAAAAATAACCATTTTCAATATTTATTGAAAATGGTTATTTTTCCACACATACTTCTCAGTCGAGTTAGACATTATGTCGAGTTAGACATTCATATACTTCTAACCTCTTGATAAATGACTGCAAGTATGTATTTGAAAGAATTCCATGTCTATAACAAGGATGTCCGTGAAAGAGATACATGTCATACACCACATGCCTCTCACAACATTACTCTTTGACCATATTTGGACTTTGTAGTCCAATCTTTGGACTGAAATCTATCTATGAGCTTGTGGATGTTGGAAGTTATAAACTTTCTTTTAGTGGATCATGATGTTACTCGTCAAATTAGAACTTATATATACTCCTATAGTTTGAATGCATGTCATACACCACATGCCTCTCACAACAGTACTCTTTGACCATAGATTGAACTTCAAGCCTGAAATCTATCTATGAGCTTGTGGATGTTTGAAGTTATTAACTTTCTTTTTGTGTATCATGATGTCACTCGTCAAATTATGACTCATATTCACTCCTATAATTTGAATACATGTCAACGGGTCTTGGTACAGTATGTCAATGCTTTCCAACTCACAACTATTTCGTTTGCATCGTTGACACTTGTCTTGATTGGTGGTCAACCTATAAACATCTTCGATACTCATTATAGATGTTGAATCACGATACATGCAGTAAGATACTCTTTCAACTGATGCCTTAATTACTGTACTTAAGGCAGCAAGCAAGGGAGGATGAACTCATTTCCAAATATTCCGTATGTTGATATGTATACTCCTTTTACAATTTTTCTTGTAAGATTATTTAGAGCGATTAACATCACGTCCATAGAGACATTAAAATCAGTTTTGACTGCTGCAGGAGGGCTTTCTATGCCAGAAGAAATGGGATTTCACTTTGCTTAACACAATGTGTACTTGATATATACAGCGTATATTTATTGCTTTCTGTAAAACGTACATACTTGTTAAAAGACATGCATGGCATGTGATAGTAATACAATGTAAGGGATTTTTGGCTTGATTGTTAGGTTATTATGGATGCAATGGTAGATGTTATCCAATGCTCTCCCGTATCCTTCACACTCATCACTTGATCGTTTGCCTATCCACTGTGCTAAATCAAAAGATTTCCTCGTTTGCTTCAGAGTAAGTGGCTTGAGAGGTTTTATTCGACCAGACACTCGTTTCCACTAAAATTCCACGACGAATATTCGAAAGGTTACTTGGTGAAGGACACCATCTTACGCACCATCTTACGCTTGATTAGCACTAGCTGAAGTGCTAATCAGCATTTCTTTATCATTCCTTGAGTTCGGTTGTGAAATTGCTGTAGTTGATCGTCTTGGCCTGCACGCTTTTAATTCTCGGGTTGTTTCTAGCTTTTAACCGGTACACTCCCTCGCATTCGACTAGTACAAAGTTGATATTTTCCTTCGCTGACCTAGTTTTGAAATACCATTTTGAACGGATTGCAATGCATCCCCAATTGGCGTTTCATCCAACCAAACAAACAGGAGATGATTACGTTCCGTTCAATACAGCGAAAGTCCCGAAATGACCAGGAAATTCAATGACATCAATAAGCTCTAACTTGTTTCCTAGTGAAGGGCAATTGCAAACTCAGTACATCTAGATGAATCACCCTAATAGCGACTTTGAATTGATGTTCACTTACTCACTGTGGGCATATTCTGCTTCTGTCAACAAATTCTCATTAAAGCCAACGCAATGAATGGAGGGGCATTTCTGACTTTTGTTACAAATATTGATCGAATGGAAGAATGTCCATGCGTAATAAGGTCTCACAATTGATCACCTGATGGGGTCATTTCCAACACGTCATTAGACGAGTATTCGCAGACTCCATCTGCCTGTGATACCAGGAACGTTCTCAACGTACTTCATACAACCTAAATTGCTGCTCTTCTGGGAAGTATTACATCAGGCTCCGACACTCTGGAGGTGGAGGAGCCTATAACAACATTCTTGGTTGGGTTATTGTTGCTCCTAAAGAATCTCATTTATAAGAAGAAGGTCCACAATTCCAGATGTTTCATTGAGTACTTCATTTCGCCGGCCCTCTATCAGACCTTTGATACATTCTCGCTGTAGCTTACTATGGAAAATCAGATACGGTCTACAGCTGGTTTCAGGCTACGACAGGTGAAAGAACATCCGTGATTGTACTGTTTGCCACACATCTCCAAGATCTACCCAAAATCTTTTTGTAACTCGTCTAATTCACCTCGGCATGTTTACACTACTGGAAAAAAGTCGAGTTCCACTGACTCAGCTCAACAAACTAGAAAAAATACAAAACTTCCACTGCAAGAGAAGTAAGCGATCAGGAACATTGTTTTCTTCCTGGAAAAAATACTGTTTTAACAACTTACCTCGTTAAGATCAATAGCCATACATTTCGTACTGTTACAACCAGGTATGAATCTGTATCAAATCGATCATCCCAAACCACTGCATAACAGGTGACTAAATTATCGGAAAGTAGTGAGCCAAACATATTTGGCAGGTGCTCGCAGCTCTTCTGATCAAAATTGGGAATGTACAGCTATACACTAGGATCTCTTCTTCAAAAAGGATTGAACGATTTCAAGTGGGAGACAGATGCTTACTCAGGCTTTTTCCTTCTTTACCAGGGCTTCCTCACGATACTCCTGGTTCGCCTCTACTTGGTAACTTGCTTCAACTTGGCAGTCCTTCAGAGACGACCGTTCTTGCAATAAGGCATTGCTGCAAACTACAGAGCTTTGAATGGAACAGAAATCCTGAATGGTCACATAATCCATTATCACCGAGTTCACAATCGTGACATTGGAGCCTATTCTACAGTGCCTTCCAACGACTGAACGTTTGATCCTACATTTGTCCCCCATCTCTGAGCCCTCTCCAACCAAACAATAAGGTCCGACAGTGGTCTTAGAACCAGTCGCAGCTGTTTCGTGAACCACGTTGTTGTGGGTAGATACTTTATAGCCTGTCAGATGAATAACTTCATCGGCAACAGCTCGATTCACCTCTCCATAAGCTTGCAAAGAATTCACTCGTGCGCAAAACTTGCCAGGGCTTGCCACATATGCACAGCATTTCAAAGGGGAAGGCTTGATCGAGCACACACGCTGCAACAGAGTAGAAACTTCATCCGTCAAGGAACTGACCGCAGCGACCCCGTTCTCCAATGACCCTCCTCGGGGCTGGTCAGAACCCTCTTCTGAAACAGATGCTGTGACTGGACTAGAACCGAGGCGGAGTTGAGATCGAATTAAAAAAGGAACCAAATCGCGCTTTATACATTTGATTCCAGGTCTGGAATCTAAGACCTCTTGGACAACAACTCTCTTGAAGGCGTAAAGATGTGCATCCACTAAATCGGTCCGGATCTCCATGTTCCCAGCTACACGGAGTAGCGATCGCCTCATCCTCAGCTCCTTCTCAACTTGTCCACTAGATGCAAGGAACAAAAGGTGCTGATGCGTAGAATCCAGACCAATCACATCAGAAACTGGCAGCTTCGTTTTATCCTTGCTGGAACCCCCAGTGCTGCCTTCGGAAGAGTTCAGTTTAGGACGCCCGCACAAGAGAGCCGTAACAACAGCATCCTGCCGCCGATGTGCTGCTGCGACTGCCCCGAGTGGCACATCACTGACAAGATCCCCACTAACAACAAGAAAATCATCTGCAGTTAGCCGATGAGATATTTTCCTGAGCGCATCGGCAGTTTCGTGGTCCTCGGGAACTGAAACTACCTCTACGTTTAAGCGATCATCAAAAGCATTTGAAATCCAGTTCTCGACCTGAAAGCGAACCAAGGCAGAGTCAGCTCTGGTGCTTTTTCACAGTAAGTAAAACATTGCGAGCGTTCAGCTCAAAATTCTTCTTCATCCAAGCAAAATTCCACGACGTTTGGTAGATGTATTGAAGACATTGTATTGGGCCTTGTCGTTTCTTCCAAGGCACCCTCTCTCTTCGCATGATACTCGATTGAGCAATCCCTAAATTATTGATTAAGAAATCAAGATTCTTCAGAACACAATATCAGCTGATGCTCGCCTACCTGAAGTAGAGGATATAACACAACACGCACAACGAGTGCTCAAAGAAAAACTGAAATCTTCAACCGGCCGTGAACAGCATGGCAACTTAGCGATTTCATTCGATATAACAATTAGAATTTCATTCCCTAACCGTCAGCTCTATTTACCCAGAAAGACATTACGGCTCACAGTAGAGATTCCCAAACCTGAGTTGCAGCTTCATCGCCAGCCACCACGACGATAAGATCCTTGATGTTACTCGCCTCCAAGAGCTCCAACACATAACTAATCAGCGGGCGATTTCCCACCGGCAACAGCGCCTTTGGCAGATCTTTGCTCACCAAAGGGATAAGCTTCTTCGAAAGCCCTCCGCCCCCGGCAAGCACGACGACTTGAAAATTCATCGCGCCCATCCTTAGCTCCCCTGTGCTCCGCCCAAGTCCAGGTATCTAATGTACATTCACGCAGTCAGCACTGAATCTGTGGAGCAGATTCACGTGTGTTCTGATCTGTTCGCCCTCGGTCGCCCGTGTCCACTTCGAATTCCAGAAAAAATCCCTCCGTAAACCGTACACTAACCAACTAATCCCTCGGGACGAGTAATACCCTCGGCAATCCCCCGAGCGCAAAGTTTATCTTTTAGCTCACATAAACAGCGCGAAGCCACTATATGTCCCTCGGCTGCAAACGTCGCAGATGTCCCGTTTTCTTCCAGAAGCCACTGGAACAAGTGTGTCGAAAATGAAAACGATGTGCGTTCAAAAAGCACCTCCCTCCCTTTTCCACAAGAGATACGCGATGCCTATTCCTTCACTTGAAGTCAATTTGCGAAAAGAAATTGCTCTTCTATTTCCACACACCCGAAACTCTCCCCGATAGGGTAACAGAAACGGAGAGCTACGGTGCGCGAGAGAGGACCTCACTCACTCATCCAAATGTTTATTTCAGACTAAATAACCCTATCTCAGATACAACACCAACAACATTCGCATATCTCTAAAACACAAATTCCAGATTACCCTAGGCCGCGGTGGCAAACAACGATTAACACTGTGAGGACATAAGCCCCCCTCCTCGCGTCCGCGAACGAAATAAGATGACAGATATAGCGGAACTACGGTGCTTCACTGGTCGGCGCGTTTATCCCGAACAAAAAAGTACCTACTTCGCTCTCCGCCCAGGTCCCCTCCCTTTCACATATCTTTTGACCAGGCAAAAATTCAAGATAACCCTAGGCGCAGATCCCAAACAAAGCACCCATACCAACAACAAGCTGCGAGTGATAGAATACGCCGCAGCTTCCTCCCTCACTCCCTGATTCCTCACTTCCTTGCCTTTACCCAGTCTCCAAGTGCGGACGCCAAAGCCAAAGAATGAAGCTACACTTCCCCTCAATTGAATTGCAGCAATTGCGCCCTTGCAATCTTATATTAAAGATTGCATTCACTCACTTTACGTGGTGGCTATTCAGGAGCATAAGTTCCGACTAGTCGACTAGCCCTCGGCCCTGGTCGACTAGTCGACGACTTAGTCGGTTACTACAAGTGCGCCATGGACTCCTGGGAAGGTCTAGAAGATTAGAAGTTTCTCCAATCTGTCATATGTCATGTCCGAGTCTTACTCCAGTCGTAGCGACACGGAAGATGAAATCATCGAAATCGGCGATGAATCCCACGATGAGCCTACCTCTGAACGATTCTTCAGGCCGTCCGGCCGCGCATCCGGATCTACGTCTGCAACAGGGAGGCACTATAAGAAGCAAAAGAAAACCTCCTGAGTGTTCGATCACTTCTATGAAGACGATGACATCACTGGGCGCGTAACGTGTGCAGTCGAAGGCTGTGGGCGGTCGTTCTCGAAGGGAACATCGACGACTACGCTCGCTTCGCACCTAACGAGCAAGCATAGGTTGACGAAAGGAGGTGTTGTTCCAGGGCAAGTGGATCAGCTCACATTCAGTAAGAATGGCGGGCGTCTCATTGCGCACAACCGGCTCGACGACGACAAACGGGCATGGCTGTTCTCGAAGCTGGTCAATTGGATCGTGGACAACAAGCAGCCAATCGCAGTCGTCGAGAACAACTTTTTCAAAGAATTCATGCATGAGTTGAACCCTTTGTTTAATGTATCGAGCCGTAGGACTATCGGGCGAGGCGTGGACGATGCATACGAAGAAGCGAAAGCGAAGATTGCGTTGGTGTCGGAGTCAATTCCAGAAGATGTCGCACTCACTTGCGATGGTTGGTCTTCTCGAATCATGAGAGGCTACTTTGTTGTGACGCTGCACTAGGTCGACGAAAACTGGAATTTACGTTCTACTGTCATCGAGTTCATTTACTTTCCACCACCGCATAATCAATGGACAACGTCGGAGCTGTTGCTTTCTATCCTGAAAGATCAAAACCTCGCTACTCGCTTCAGAGCCGTCACAACAGATAGTGGTGGCGAGATGCCGCCGGCGATGCGCCATGTTGCTGCGAAGTTGAATGAAGAGTTTGATGCCAAGCTAGAGTCGGATTGGCACATTCGATGTGTTTGTCACATCATCAACAGAGCTGTAAAGGATTATGAAACAATCGTGAAGCCTGTTGTTGAGAAGATTCAATCTCTTTTGAAGATGATTCGCGTCTCGGCGGTTTTGTGTGTGGCGTTCCGAGAGATCCAGGTGCTGCTGGGCAGGCGGAACATTGTCGATGTACCGGGCCTTGACGTTGAGACCTGGTGGAACTCTATGTTTGAAATGGTTGATAACTGCTTTCTTGTCAAAGATGTCTTTGAGTCAATGTGCAACAAAGAAGAGTTTACTTCAGCGTTGGGCGATTTGCAGTTGAGTCAAACGGATTGGCGAGAAATCAAAGCAGTCGTGGACTTCCTTCGTCCGGCCAGCGCATTGACAACTACTGCCAGCGGTAGTAGCTATGTCACCTTGTCTATTCAGCCTCTTATTTACGAGTCTCTCAAGACGCATTGCCTATCGACGATATCCGGCACACTGGAATCTGGATTCACTGTACCAGCTGCGAAGCGATGCTTTCAAAGCTGGAAAAGTACAAGGAGAACATGAACAGCCCTATGTGCTTGCTCGCTTCAGGTCTCGATCCATCTGTGTCTGTTCCCGATGAAGACATTCAGGAGCTCAAGTTCCGTAATTGCCAAATTCTTATCGTCAGGTATGGATATCAGCAGCAGCAAAATGTTGAGATTCCTCAGCGATTGGGTCTTCTTGCCGCTGCCAAGTTGGCGCGTGCAAGATCTTGTGCTGAACGTGGTCAGATCGACGAGGTGCATGACTTCTTTGAGTTGACGAAGAGAACTGATACTTCTTGTGATAATGTACTAGAATGGTGGTCCGCTTCCAGCAAACGCTTCCCTTTGTTATCGCGACTTGCTCGTGATACATTTATGGTGATGGGCTCCTCAGTCCCTTTAGAGTCCGCCTTCTCTGACAGCGGCTCGTTCGTCACTCCTCGGCGCTCAAGTCTGTCCGATGAGAATATTTCCAAGATGATGAAGCTTTGATCGTGGAATCGACTTTTGAAAGTTTTGAATAAATGAGTATGACAGCAATTTTGAGTTTTGAGACTCCCAAATTTAGTCAGAAAATAGTCCACTAGTCGACGCCTAGTCGACTAAAAACCCGACTAGTCGACTAGGCGTCTGGAGCAAGTCGACTAGTCGTTAGTCGAGTCGTACCCAGATCTAGCATAAGGTATGTGGGTTAGCAGCAAGCCAGTTAGTAGAGCGTCTATGGAAACAAGTCACCTCCTTAAGTTTGCAGGCTTCGGTGGGCTAAAGCCAGTTAGTAGAGCGACTATGGAAACACGTCACCTCCTTTAGGTTTGGAGGCTTCGGTGGGCTAAGGCCACAGTCCGACTAACCAAAGCGCAGGATGCGGTGGTATCATCACGTTTGTCCATCCTCGTTGGCAAAGCAAAATTGGTGCCTCATGCTCACTTCTGCTTGCCACTCGTGCTCATTGGTTTATTTTGCATGGATTTCCGAGGAAACTTGTTGGCTTTGTGAACATTTACACATCCAATGATTTCCTTAAATGCCGTCTTTTTTAGGAATCATTGGCACGAGATCTACCTCATAAGTGCCGATGGATTTTGATGGGGATTTTGATGTTCAACATGGTTGAACATCGAGCCAACAACACCAGACAATGTGGCTCTATGATACCAAGTCGACAATGGTTGTTATTTGACGCAATGAAATAAACCTTACATATTGGAGATAATCCCAAATCTGCATACAACCTTAGGTTTTTTGGAACAATAATAGGCCTATAGCAGCATGTTTATTAGCTAGATTGGATCATTTTTATCTCATTCAATCCAACCCTGGTTATTTCGATAGAATTTTGCTACATTGCAGTATCCGTGGTAATTCGACGAGATCAGACAATCATTCAGTCACTACATCACTCCGGCTCGCCGTACCATCGAATCAAAAATAACATTGAAATATGAACAACTTGTGGTTTGATGAGGCCACACCAACAATCACTAGACTATGGAATTTCCATCAAGTTGATTTGTTCTTTCAAAAAGTTGGTTTTATAGGTATCTTTGCAAATCCAAATCTCAGTATCTTTGTGCTGATGAGGAGTATTTAATTGCCATTGTTGAGACAAACATCCAGAAAGCACAAGAAGATCCAAGTAATGAGGAGGTGAAAGTCGAATGTGTATGGAAGAATATTAAGATCGCAAGATTGAGTATACTATCTAGAATCCGTTGGAAACTTAAATCCAAACTGGATACTCTTGCTCTGATCCCGACTTCATTCTCCTATCATTTTTCTTTTGCCATGCTCCAACAACTTGATAAGCCACCAGACGCAGCAAAAATTCTTTCAGCCCTCAAACAGATGACAAATGGCAAAAGTATAGGCCCAGACGAGATGGTAACCGAATTTTATATCAAATTTTGGGATTTGATTCGTTTTGACTTCACAAACATGCTTCGTTAAGCCATATCAATAAGATATTTACCGAATAGGATGAATCACGGGCTACTCATCTTGCTTCCGAAGGATGATGATTGAAAACTTTGCAAAATTATTGTACGATCACTTTACTTCACACTTCATATAAAATCTTTGCAAAACATTTGTAGATTTGGTTGCAGATTCTTCTCCTGACATTATTCATCCTGGACAATTAGCTTTTCTACAGGCAAGACACATTTTGGATTGTATCATGATCCAAAACGAGATATTTTTTTGGGCCGTGAAAGCAATCAGCCCTTGCTTATGCTCAAAGTAGACGTTTGCAAGGCTTACGACATTATCTGTTGGCACTTCCTTTTTTGGGTGCTGGCAAAAATGATACTTCCTTCCACTTTTATTGCCATGGTTCAGATGTTGCTCTGAGAGTCGTCTTCGCAATTTCACTCAACAGTCTCAAAATCGGCAACTTTTCAATGCGTCTTAGGGTGTGTCAAGATTGACCATTAGCTCCACATGTATTTCTCCTGGTGGCAGAAGCTATTCAGATAACCTCTCAACATGAAATGAAGATTGGACTACTACAAGGCACTAATCTACCTGACAATTCCTCACAACAACTTTTGATTTAGTTTACTGAGGATGCAACCTTTTTGTTATTTAATGCAGAGTGTTTTATCACTTCAGTTCTCACTCTCCTCACCAAGTTTGGTCTTGCAAACAGATTGATCATCAATAGGAAAAATGGTAACATATTCTAGTTTAACACAAGTATTCTTCCCACTTGATTATCCTCTTTTGGATGCATGGTTGCCCCTCCATGGAGTCTATTGAAATTGCTCAATACACCATTTGGTGTCTCCTTGAGCACGGCAAATGTGTACACATTTCTTGACGAGAAGATGAAAGTCAAACTTCAGTTTGATCTTCGTTCCACTTCTCACTAGCAATCCGTTCCGTGGTGGTCATCTCTGTATTTCTTTCGACGTTCTGGTACTTTCTTAGCATTTGGAGCAGATCAACAACAATTATAAGCAACATTTGTGCATCACTTTGAAACTACTTGTGGGTTGATACGAAAAAAAATGCAAGGATTCATGTTCGTTGGGATGATTGTTGTGCGGCCAAACGCATCGGAGGATTGAGTTT